CTCTGCATCTTCCCTGTCCCCTCCTGTGGGCTGCACGGCTGGAGGGCGAGCCGAGCCCACCACGGGCAAGCTGAGCCCATCACGGGTGAGTCAAGCCCACTGTGGGTGAGCAGAGCCCACGATAGGTGAACCAAGCCCACCACAGGCAAGCAGTGTCCACCACAGGTGAACCAAGCCCACCACGGGCGAGCAGAGCCCATCATGGGCAAGGAGAGCCCACCGTGGGCAAGCAGAGCCCATCATGGGTGAGCAGAGCCCACCACGGGTGAGTCAAGCCCACCATGGGTAAGCAGAGTCCACCACAGGTGAACCAAGCCCACCACGGGCGAGCAGAGCCCACCATGGGCAAGGAGAGCCCACCACGGGTGAACCAAGCCCACCATGGGTGAGCAGAGCCCATCATGGGCCAGCCAAGCCATCCAGGGCAGGGAAGAGGAGGAGGGCAGGGAAGAGGTGCTCTGTTAACAGCAGAGCCCACAGAAGAACAAAGCCAGACTGGCCAGAGCAGTGCTTAACCCAGGCCAGCCCCGGAGAGCAGCTCCTGTGTCACATAGGTCCCTCGTGAGCGAGCCCTTGGGCACACGAAGGTGGGCAATCAGGCGGTGGCAAAGGGCTCTGGCCCTGTTTGAGCCCAGCACAGGCGGCCACGTGCCCTCAGGTGCTGTTTCCAGCAAAGCCTGTTGCTCCCTTTCTGGCACGAGAGGAGGGTGCTGGCACAGCGCATTTGGGACTCGCTCCCGGCTGCGCTTGGCAGGCTTGAATCAGCGTTTGAGTCCGCTCCTGTCAGCATCGTGAACTTCAGTGGACGGGGAAAGAATCCTCCTAACGACAAAATAAGTGTCAGGGCTTCTTGAAACTGGCTGTCCCAGCCTGATCACCCACGTGGCAGCTTTCTTAGCCAACTTCTACTTGGCCTTTTTATTCAAGTAATGAATCAAAAGTACTCACTGTATAAAGAGACTTGTGGCACCAGTGGCCAGGTAGCTGCCCTGTAATTTCACAGCAAGCTGTGGCAATCACACAGCTCTGGCCGAGCTGCAGGGTGCTCTCTTCATCCCTCCAGCTCCATTCCCAAATCTCTAAGGCAGGACTTTCCCCAGCTGCTGTGGTATGCAGCTGTATTTACTCTCAGGTGGAGAGAAGTGAAGTAAGTCTTGTGAATGTTGAGTTGAGAAATGATGCAACAGGTCCCTGGCAGGGAAATTTAAGTGTTGGGGGTGGGTTTGCATTAGTCTCTGGAGAATCCTGGGAGCTGTTTTGCCGTAAGCCCATCTCGCTGCTGGGCTGCAGCGCTGCCTTTCTCCATGCGCCAGCTGCTTTAGCTGCGAAGTCGGGTGACTAGGATTTGCCTGCTCTAAAGACTGAAAAGTCAACTGGTGGGAAGCAGTGAGCAAAAGCGAGGTTGGCAGTGTTGTAGCTGTAGCCATAATGTGATGTTAGCTTCTGGCCTCCCTTGCTAGCTGATTAATTCTGATTTTTTCATTAAGTGCATTTGGCAGCTCACGGCAGCAGTTGGGTTGAGGTTTGGTTCTGTCCCTTTCTTTTAAGTTGCATGATATGCATGGGTGTTTCTCCTCAAAGTGGTTGATGAGGCGTACAGCATAGTGAATCGCCTTGTAAACCAGTAATGATCTTTGCAGTAGCGTAGCCAGCAAGGTGGCATCTCTGTGCCCTCAGGTGTGTGGTCTCTGAGGTACAGAGTGTACACGTGGCTCCTCCAGACTTCCTCACGTGGCAGTGCCCACCTCCACATCAAGAACCCTGGGCTATTCCAGCATCCCCTGGGGGATTCTGGAGGGAGAGGGGGAGTGAGGTGCAGGGAGCTTCTCAGAGCCTGATGAATGGGGTTCATCATCTCATGAAGGCTTCTAGCAACAGGGAAGGCAGAGTTCCCAGGGCAGGATTTCCACTTAGCAGAGAGCTGAGCTGTTCCCTCACAGTCTCTGTGCAGTGTCATCTGTACAGCTGTTTGTCTGCAGTATGAACCAAAACGACATCTCGCCCTAACGCCATCTCCTGCTCTCTTCCTTCAGATGGGGCATCCTCTTCTCCCACCCACGGGACTTCACCCCCGTCTGCACCACAGAGCTTGGCCGGGCGGCAAAGCTGGCACCTGAGTTCAGCAAGCGCAACGTGAAGATGATCGCCCTCTCCATTGACAGCGTCCAAGACCACCTCTCCTGGAGCAAGGTATGGGGTGTGGGCAGGCACAGGGGGAGCTCACGCTGCTGCCTTGCTCTGAAGGCCAGAGGAAAAGCCCACACAGGACAGAGCACAGGCTCTGAACTGCATATCTTGAATCCCAAAGCATGTAGAATAGGAGGTGCTAAAGTTCAGAGCAGGAACAGGAAGGTCTGCTCCATCTTCATGGAGCACTCCACAGAGTCCAAGGCACTCTATGCACTGACACTTTGAAACAAGAGGAAAACAGTCTTACTGCTCTCCTACCAACACCTGAAAGGGTAAAACATGTGTGAAGGTGGTGCTAAAAGCTCAGATGAAGGCAATCTATCCACAGACCCTCAAAAAGTTCTGTAATAAGACAGGAAAGGAAAAGAGGCATCAGAAATTAACAGACAGTGTTCAAAGGGTACAAGTCATGCCCAGGCAGGGAAAAGAAAAGAGAGAACAAACAGGAGCATGTTAAACATAAAACCACAAATAGAATGTTAAATATAAAACCACCATGAGGGAGTATAAAGAAAGGTGGGAATGAAATAGCTTGCTGAAGGAACATAAAAGGAGCTAATTAAAAGTTCCAAACGCAGGCTCAGCAGTGGTGTGCTGCCAGGGACTGTGACTCCAGGGCTCACAGGTGGTAGGGGTGTAAAATGAGCACTTCAGACAGATATGGCTGGAGTGTAGCAATCCCTGGGTGAATTACCTGCCACTTTCTTTCCTGCTCTTAAAATTGGGTATGTTCTCACATGTTTTCCAGGGGTGAGACATGCAGGCAATAAGATGTAGTAAAGGTGAGAAATTTCCACACTCAAATATTGTTTCGTGAATGACTGGCTTTAGAAATTACCTAATTGCCTTATTGCTTAAATTGACCTTCATACCCAAGTGGTGCGTGGCCAATGTCCCACCAAGCCTCAGAATGGCCTGGGAGAAACAGTGTGCAAGTCCCACACCACTAAATGAGAGTTCTGTGCTGGTTAAACTGGCTGAAACCACCAGTCAAATTAGCAGATAAAGAAAGATCATTAAAAAGAAAGCTTTAAAGAGAAAGTTTGGGTTGGGCTTTTGTAAGGGAATCTCATCTCCTAGTTGGCTAAAGCCCTTTGAATAACTGTAGGGTATTGCTGACTTTGTAAAAGTCCTCGAATTTCCAAGAAGGTGATCTGGAAGAGATGAACAATGAGCTGACTTTGTTGATTCTATGGAATTATTCAGCACAACCTCAGGTAAAACCAGGAGAAGTTTCAGAACAGCCTCTTGACACTGACTGATGGGAGGCAGAGTAGCATGTTTGGAAAACCTTCCAGAACAAGTGCAGAGAAGGGCAGAGGGCAGCAGTCCAAGCTGTGGTGAGCTTTCTCAGGCTAGGAGAGGCCTCGGAGACAGTGGTTTGGAAATCTCAGCTCAGCACCTGTCAAAAAAAACCCCAAACCAAAACAAAACCTAAAACCAACAAAGCCCCACAGCAGGGAGCATGAGCTTGCTGATGGTTTTGTCTCTGCAGGACATCAACGCATACAACGGGGAACAACCTGAGGAGAAACTCCCCTTCCCCATCATTGCCGATGCGAAGCGGGAGCTCGCTGTCAAGCTGGGAATGCTGGACCCAGATGAGCGGGACAAGGACGGCATGCCCCTGACTGCTCGGGTGGTGAGTACCTGGCCCTGGAGCACCACTGCATGGCAGCCTTCTCAGCAGTGGGCATCATCTGCCATCCTGCCCTGCATCTGTGGGGCTGGGCTTGAAGATGGGGCAGCTTACCTTGGTGGACATGACCCAAGGAGCGAGGTTGAGCTCCTTGGGCTAGATCTATGGGTTGTGCTGCAGGAAGAGGCTGGCGCAGCGCTGGGCTGGGCTGCTGGCAACAGCTCCATCTTGCTGTTGCTGCCAGCTCAGCCTGGTTGTGCCTGTCCTAACACAGAGGAGACAAAAGCACTTGATCTGCGGGACTTTCCCTCTGCCCCTCCTGTGCTTGCATTAGAAGGGCACAGGTCAAGGGGAGCAAACATTTCAAGTAGCAAAACAAGCTGGCATTGGAAACAGGAGCTTCCAGAGCAAACACCTCTGCCTGGGCATCACTTGTTGCTCTAGGAGATCCCCACCCTGGCATCTCACCTGTCCAAACACTTTTGATCAAGCAGGCCACCTCCCAGGAAAGGGAAGAGCAGCAGGGCTGAGCAGATCCAGCAAGGCAGTTGGACAACCATCTGCCCAGTCCCTGACCCTGTCTTCCTGGTCATCTAGGTGTTCATTTTTGGCCCAGATAAGAAGCTGAAGCTCTCCATCCTGTACCCAGCCACCACTGGGAGAAACTTTGATGAGATCCTGAGAGTGGTGGACTCCCTGCAGCTAACGGCATACAAGAAGGTCGCCACCCCTGTGGACTGGAAGGTGAGGAGGGGAGCAAAGCTTGCAGCTGAGCACTGAAAACATCTATTGAAATGTCAGGCAACCTCCCTTGGAGGGGGACGGGGGACCCACAGGGTGAGGAAAGGTGCTGAGGTCCTGGGGTATGACTTAGATCCCAGCCCAGGCCGCAGGGCTGTTGCAGTCTGGAGTCAGCCATAGGAATCTCCCTTCTCTGCCTTCGGTCCCTGGTGCCAGCAAGTACAGGGCTTGGCCTTTCTGGCCATCAGTGCTTCAGCGTTGGGCCAAGGCAGGTCTTGCCCTTGCTGTCTGTCATAAGGAAAGGCATTACTAGGTGTCCATGTGCCAAAGTGCACTCAAAGCCAGCAAAGCAGCAAGCATGGGACACCTCTCCCTGAGCTGGCTCCTGCCTTTGAGCCAGGAAGGGCCAGTATGGGCACAGCCCCACTTTGCCCAGCATTTACACAGCCAAGTCCTATCCTCGGGGAATATTACTAGTTGAAGTTGTTTAGTTGTGGCCATCCCTGTTCAGTAGCATTATTTAAATCTCCCAAAAATGGTTTGGGCAGCCAAGATAAAGCAAGAACAAGCAGCACAGCCTGGCTGCTTTAGCTGGCCAGTGTTTCCTCAGCCCAGCAGAGCTGCTCAGCTCCTAGACCTCTCCTGCCACTGGCTTTGGTAGCTGTTACTGGGGAAACCTGTGACACACCAGTCACACACCAGCCCACCTTTCCCTGGGGCATGGCACGCCAAGGGGGAGCCAGCACCTGAGCAATAGGAATGGATGAACAGACATGGGCAAGCTGTGCTCCTGCCTGTATTGTAGAGGTGCCCAGATTCCCCTGTTCCCGTGAGGAAGGGCTGGGCTGTGGGATCCCATTGGTAGGGCTGGCAGACAGCACAGCTCTGCCTTTTGACGTCACCCATGCGTCCTGTGTAGCTCCCACTTGGTCCTCACTGCCAGCTCCAGGCAGAGCTGTAGGGATGAACAGACATGGGCAAGCTGTGCTCCTGCCTGTATTGTAGAGGTGCCCAGATTCCCCTGTTCCCGTGAGGAAGGGCTGGGCTGTGGGATCCCATTGGTAGGGCTGGCAGACAGCACAGCTCTGCCTTTTGACGTCACCCATGCGTCCTGTATAGCTCCCACTTGGTCCTCACTGCCAGCTCCAGGCAGAGCTGTAGGGGATGTGCCTGCAGCTCTGGGGCTGAGTGTTCACAGCAACAGTGTCACCTGCATCCAAGCCTGCCAGCTCTTCTGCTGCTCTCATGGTTCCCGTTTGCTCCCCAGCCTGGTGACAGCGTCATGGTTGTGCCCACCTTACCTGATGAGGAAGCAAAGAAGCTCTTTCCCAAAGGAGTCTTCACGAAGGACCTCCCGTCAGGCAAGAAGTACCTGCGTTACACCCCGCAGCCAGAGTGAGCGGCTCTGCCCAGCCATCCCGCCGGGCGGCGCGTCGGTCAGTGTCGGGAGCCTTCCCCGTGCCCAGCTCCTGCCTCCCTGACACCGTGTGATCAGCAGCCTCGTACCATCACACTGACAGTGCATCGCAATACTAAACCAACCAGCCTTCCCCATCCCTTTCATCCCCCACATCCCCTCCAAACTAAAACCCTGGGTGTTTTCTTGCCTTCAATCAGCCCCGCAAGGAAGAGGTTAACAGAACAGGGGGGGCTCCAGGGCTCTCTCCTGTTTGGCACCTGCTGAAGTTTTCCTGGTGGCACGGTGAGAAGTACGGTGTCAGCAGCCAGGCCCCGGAGGGGTGTCCTGCTGGGCTCACACGCCTCCCATCAGGGAGCTTCGGGGGCCCCAAACTGCTGTGTGCCTTTCTGAGCAGCCGTCGCTAACGCATTAACACCTTTGTCTGGTCCTGTGCGTAGAGAAGGAGCTGCAGAGCCAAATCTCTCACTTCTTACTGCTTTCTCATCTCTTCCTGGAAGTTCATTGTCTTCAGGTTTTATGGGAGAGTGACTAGAGCAAATAAATTGATCTTCAGTCCTACCTGCAGTATCCCTTGTCTGCCTCTGCTGCTGTCCATGCCACCCTGCACGATTTACTTTGTTCCCTGTGGCCGTGCAGCTGGGATGTATGCCCACGCTCCTGGGTGGGTGGCAGTGGCACAGATTGTCCTTCTTCTTCCTCTGTAAATAAGGCACTTTGGAAACAGGTTGTCCCAGGGCACATAGTCTCCAACAAGGCAGCAGTTGTGCTGCTGCTGCTCTGTGGCAGAGCCTCAGTGGTGGGAAGCAGGAGATCCCTGCCCAGGGAACATCCCTCAGCCTGGCCTGCCGTTAGCTGTGGGGTGGGGGGTCCTACCCTGCTTCCCAGGGCGTGAGCAGGCATGGTAGAAGCCATGCAAACCCCTCCCGGCTCTCCCACACCTACACCTGAGGGATTTGTCAAGAGATGAGCGATGTTTTAATATAACACTGGGAAAGAAACATGCTCACCAAATAGCACATTGGCTGCTGCCAGCGTCTTTCAGTGCCCAGCACAGTCAGCAACACTCAAAATGAGCAGCTGTTAACGAAATTGGCTGGCTCGGGGCACAAATGTACCCCACAGCAAGCAGGGACTAGTAGGGCTGATGCTCATGGTGGATGCAATCACATAGGCCCCAGCATCCTAATCCTGGGGCAGCACCTGCCTGGGACATGGCCTGTCAGTGCTGGGACAACATCCAGAGCCACTGGTTACTCCTGCCATCCATCGCTGTCCTCCTCCATGCTGGCGTGCTGGCCAGGCTGTCTGGCTGAGGACATCCTTTCCCAAACACAGCTGCATTTCAGAGAACTCCCTCTTTCATTACAAAAAAAAAAAGGTTTCTATTAATATTTAATTGCCTTCAGGAACTATCCAGTGAATATTGGTATTTTTCCCCAAATGGCTTTTAAGTGAACCTTCGTTACGAAATTCTGCATTATCCCCATGTATTATTTTTACTAGAAGTTAGAAACACCTGGTCTCTGGGTTGACTTTTTCTCCCCTCTCTTTCACTCTGCAAGAAGTAGGAGGGGGATCAGCAATTTCAAAGGGGAAACATCTCTTTTTCTGTGTAGTTTTTCGACTTTATCAAGCTTGGCAGCTTCCCTAGTAACCCCACAGCTGGGCTGCAGGAGCTCCTGGGTTTTTTGCTGTTCCCTCACCTTGATCTGGTTTCCTAAGGGAAAAAGGGCTGTGTGGCCCCCACCCAGAGCTTTCCAACCAACTGCCCAATTTTTGGGAAGCCTGAGGATACAGCCCCACAGCAAGCTTCATGCAAACAGGCTGCTCTGAGCATCCCCAGGCAAGGGGCACTGCAGGGTGAGCACAGCTTCTCTGGGATGCCAGAGAAGCCACCTGCAAGTCAGGACAAGGGGGAACAAGTCCTGTCACCAGACCCAAGGGCTCAAAGCTGGCAGAGGTGGCCGCTGGTCCCACTGCCAGGCCAGGCAGGGACTGACAGCCGAAGCCATGGATTCCTGCCCGCTCCCCGATGCCACCATGGCCCCAGAGGTGCAAGCCAGCCAGATGGACTCAAGCAAACACAGCGTTTGGTTCCAGTACAGCTCAAGTGGTTTTCTTTTAATCCCAGAGAAGTTAAATGCAACATTTGTTCGAGTTGGTAATAACATCCAGAGACAGAAGTCCAAGCCCCCTACTCGGTAAAGTCATTTGTGTTTAAGGCACTCTGCAAAACCAGCTTTCCTCTTCTTCTGATTTTCCCCACGCGGCAGCAGAATACCTGGGTTGGTCTTTTCTCCATAGCGACACCCACACGTCCTGGCTCTTCTCACCATCTCCAGGAATTGGCAACAGCAAA